CCCAAACCTTCCCAAACCTTCCCTTCCCAAACCTTCCCAAACCTTCCCAAACCTTCCCTTCCCTTCCCAAACCTTCCCTTCCCAAACCTTCCCTTCCCAAACCTTCCCTTCCCTTCCCTTCCCAAACCTTCCCTTCCCTTCCCAAACCTTCCCTTCCCTTCCCTTCCCTTCCCTTCCCAAACCTTCCCAAACCTTCCCAAACCTTCCCAAACCTTCCCATCCCAAACCTTCCCTTCCCAAACCTTCCCTTCCCTTCCCTTCCCTGAGGTTCAAATGCCTCATTAGGCACAGCCCACATTCTGTGTTTTAAGCCAGAAGGGCAGAGATTAAACGGCCTCAATATTCACAATAAACCCAGCACAAGGTCTGGTTATCACTGGTGTGCTGGCACTGAGTTCCACATGGGTGTGTGAGCTCACTAAGCTCCCAGAGCCAAAGCTGAAGGGAAGCAGACACTTTGTAATTATTTAATGTAACTTCAGGAGAAAGCAGAAGAGAAGGAGGCAAAACATCCTTTATCCTTCTGTAGAGCATTTTGTTTCCTAGACAACAATTTTATACTGAAAAAAACAAGAAAATGTCCTAATGGCACAATTTTTGTTTCCTGCCTGCTAAGGAACTACTCATCTACTCCTTTCAACACAAAGAAAAAAGGAGAGAAAAAAGAAAAATATCAGCAACAAGACTGGGTAAGAGTGGATAAACCCTCACACAGTAAATATGCTTGTAAGACCCCTTCTTTATTATAGTGCTTGCTGATCTGTTTCCCATGGCTTTGAACCTTTTGGAGACTTAAATGAAAGTGAATAAAACAACCTGCTTGTGCAATACCAGGAGCAATCCCTGTGCTTCATGCAGTTAGAGGTCCCAACCTCAAAACTCCAGCTTTGCTCATGGACACAAATGGCATTGGATAAAATTGCTGCTTCTTGTTTATCCCACTGCTAAGAGACCTTGTTATAAAGTGTTTATGTAGGGCAGTAATTTGTACTATCTAGCTTCCTTCTGATATCAACTGGTATCAGAAAGTGCATTTGGATATGCATTTGTGCATCAAATAGCATAATGAAAGAGCAGAAGACAAAAACTTGGGATCTGGAGATAAAACTGGGACTTGGAATAGAAGGCTGAGTATAAAGGCAGGGACTGACCTATGCAAAATCTGCAGCATAAATGAGAGACACCTGTGGAAAAAGGATCAGTTTGTGAAAAAGCCCTTGCAAGAAGAGCTGAGCTTTTAGAGAACAGCAGGGAACAAACACAGAGACACAGGATGAGAAATGGCAAAGGACTTGGGCTACTTTTCAGTCCAAAGGTGGGGCTGTAGCTGTTGTTAGGCAGCCTGGAACAAGGAGCAACAGTGCTGGAGCAAGGGGAGCACAGCCCAGGCTCCCTGAACACAGCTCCAGGCTCTGGCCAGGAGCACAGGGCTGTGCCCAGGCTGCAGCAATCACAGGGACAATGCAGCTCAGTTGTTATGGGTAACTGTGCCATGAATGATGTCAATCACTTTTATTAGTTGTGTGCCTGCAAATCCAGCCTGTGGCTAATGCAACCCAAACTCAGGAGTCTGGACTCACCTACCCTGCCTGGACAAGCCTTTCTTTTCCTTTTTCC